CAACAAATAATTATCATATATGGTTCCAAAAGACATTTTATGACCCCGAGATGTATCCCCTAGAATTTCAAGACTTTTCGACACCGGGTCCTGAAACCCCCAAAATTTCTCAAAAAGCATGGATATTAGTCTTCAATTTTGGAATTTTCTTACTTTTTTTCACCTGGAAATAAAAATTGCCGAAATGATTACCATGGTCCCTAATACCCTCCGGGAGTCCAACTGGGTTGGTGGAACAATCCAATTTGTCTTTAAACAACCAATTTACCGGTTTACAACATGCATGGTTTTCATTAATTCAAGCCTACTACGAACATTTATGACAACATATAATGATCATATATGGTTAAAAATGGCATTATATGACTCTGAGATGTATCCCCTAAAATATCAAGACTTTTCAACACCAGGCCCCGAAACCTCTAAAATTTCTCAAAAAGCGTGGATATTAGCCTTCAATTTTTAAAATTTTTTGACTTTTTTCGCCCGAAAATGAAAATTGCCGAAATGTTTACCATGGTCCCTAATACCATCCGGGAGTCCCATTGGGTGGGTGGAACTATCCAATTTGCCTTTAAACGACCAATTTACCGGTTTACAACTTGCACCGATTTCATTAACTCAAGCCTACCACGAACATTTATGACAACAAATAATGATCATATATGGTTCCAAATGGAATTTTATGACCCCGAAATGTATCCCCTAGAATTTCAAGACTTTTCGACACTGGGTCTCGAAACCTTAAAAATTTCTCAAAAAGCGTGTATATTAGTATTCAATTTTGGAATTTTTTGACTTTTTTCGCCCGGAAATAAAAATTGCCAAAATGTTTATCATGGTCCCTAATATCCTCCGGGATTCCAACTGGGTTGGTGGAACCATCCAATTGGCCTTTAAATGACCTATTTACCGGTTTATAACTTGCACCGATTTCATTAACTCAAGCTTATCACGAACATTTATGACAACATATAATGGTCATATATGGTTCCAAACGCCATTATATGACCCCGTGATATAATTCTAATATTTCAAGGCTTTTCGACACCTGGCCTCAAAATCTCCAAAATTTCTCAACAAAGCATGGATCTTAGCCTTTAATTTTTGAATTTTTTGACTTTTTGTTTCGCCCGAAAATAATAATTGCCGAAATGTATAGCATGGTCCCTAATATCCTCCGGGGGGGCAATTGGATAGGAAGAACCATCAAATTTGCCTTTAAACGGCCAATTTACCAGTTTACAACTTGCACCGATTTCATTAACTCAAACTTACCACGAACATTTATGACACCATATAATGATCATATATGGTTCCAAACGGCATTATAAGACCCCGAGTGTATTCCCTAAAATCCTAAGAATTTTAGACACTGTGTCCCGAAACCTCCAAAATTTCTCAAAAAGCTTGGATATAAGCCTTCAATTTTGGAATTTTTTAGCTTTTTTTCGCCCGAAAACAAAAATTGCCGAAATTTTTACCATGTTCCCTAATACCCTCTGGGAGTCCAATTGGGTGGGTGTATCCATCCAATTTGCCTTTAAACGACCAATTTACTAGTTTACAACTTGCATCGATTTCATTAACTAAAGCCTACCACGAACATTTATGACAACAAATAATGATCATATATGGTTCCAAACGGCATTTTATTATGACCCCAGGATGTATCCCGTAAAATTTCAAGATTTTTCGACACCGGGTCCCGAAACTTCCAAAATTTCACAAAAAGCGTGGAAATAAAAATTGCCTGGAAATAAAAATTGTCGAAATGTTTATCATGGTCCCTAATACTCTCTGGGAGTTCAACTAGGTTGGTGGAACCATCTAATTTTCCTTTAAACGGCCAATTTATCGGTTTACAATTTGCACGGATTTCATTAATTCAAGCCTACTACGAACATTTATGACAACATATAATGATCATATATGGTTCCAAATTGCATTATGTGACCCCGAGATGTATCCCCTAAAATATCAAGACTTTTCTACACCAGACCTCGAAACCTCCAAAATTTCTCAAAAAAGCGTGGATATTAGCTTTCAATTTTTAAATTTTTTTGACTTTTTTCGCCTGGAAATGAAAATTGCCGAAATGTTTACCATGGTCCCTAATACCCTCCGAGAGTCCAATGGGGTGGGTGGAACCATCCAATTTGTCTTTAAACGACCAATTTACTGGTTTAGAACTTGTACCGATTTCATTAATTCAAGTCTACCACGAACATTTATGACAACAAATAATGATCATATACGGTTCCAAACGGGATTTTATGACCCCGAGATGTATCCCATAGAAGTTCAAGTCATTTCGACACCGGGCTCCGAAACCTCCAAAATTTCTCAAAAACGTGGATATTAGCCTTCAATTTTGGAATTTTTTGATTTTTTTTCGCCCGGAAATAAAAATTTCCGAAATGTCTACCATGGTCCCTATATCCTTCGAGAACCCAATTGGGTGTGTGAAACCATCCAATTTGCTTTTAAACGGTCAATTTACCGGTTTACAAATTGCACCGATTTACCGGTTTACAACGGCCAATTTAATTAACTTGCACCAAACCCGAATTGAACCGAAATTGACCTAAACTCGTTTTAACCCGTCAAAACCCGAATTTAACCTGACTTGTTACTAACCTGATTTGAATTCAACACGACCCAAATTCAACCCAACCTGTTACAAATACGGCCCGAAATCAGACCGACTTGTTATGATTTGACCAAAATTCAACCCGACTTTTTATTGACCCGACCCGAATTTTACCAGACCTATTATTTACCCGACCCAAAAATTCAACCCGATCTGTTACTAACCCGACTCGATATTAACACGACTTGTTATTGACCCGACCTAAATTCAACCCAAATTGTTCCTGACCCGATTTCAAATCACCTTAAATGCAATTTTGACCACCTTATTATTGTTGATCAAAGCATTTTGTCTAGGGAGACCAAGTCGGTCTAGACCAGCAAAAGAAAGGAGCATTATCCTCAAATTTTAGAGTTAAATATCTATATATTTGTTGTATGGTCAAAGGAGATAATTATCTTCATAAATTATAGACTATAGTTCCCTAGTATATTTCCATATATATTATAGTCAAAGGAAATAATTAGCTTGATAAAAATGATAATTATCTATTTATAGTTAGTTGAACCCGAATATGACCTGACTTGGAAATGACCCGACCTGATTGTAACCTGCAAATTATTGGCTTGAACATAACCCGACTTGAATCCAAGAATGACCCGACTTGGAAATGACCCAACCTGATTATAACCCGCAAATTATTGACTTGAACCAAACTCGACTTGAACCCGAGAATGACCCAACTTGATTATAACCCGCAAATTATTGATTTGAACCGAACACGACTCAAACCCGAGAATGACTCGACCTGATTCTAACTCGTAAATTATTAACTTGAACCGAACCTGACTCGAACTCGAAAATTACCCTAACCCGTTTTAACCCATGAAAACCCGAATTAAACCCGACCCGAATGTAACCCGACCTGTTATTAACCCGATTTAAACCCGACCCAAACCCGATAAGAAGTATGACCCGACCTGACCCGACTGAAGCATGACCCAACCCAAACCCGACCTACATAGGTTATGGAATTAATCCGAATTGACCCGACCCACTCTTACCCGACCCAAACCCGACCTGTTTACCCGAATTGACAGCTTTAGTAGTTGTGTTACTTATATGTTTTACGAGAATTGATTCCTTTCTTTTTGACACTTAAAAGTAAATAAATTACTCATACAAGAGTACATCGAATTAGAAAAGCCTAACATTGATACTTGTATATACTATGACATATATTCAAAATTTTATGTCTGATTTGAGCTTGGATCACCTTTAGAATAGTATGCCGCTGAAAGGAGTTCCTCAATAATAGAACCTCCTCAATTATCTATTAATTATGTAATCAAAATAAAACTTTGGCATACAAAATTTACTGCTCAATAAGGGAAAACGACGTAGCTTCGATGAGGAAGGAAGGTAGGTGACTACGAAAGTCTTATTTCAAACACTAGGACTAAATTTCTCCAAAGGACAAGCCCTTTATCCAAACAAACACCAATACTATCACAACAATAAAATGCAAAGCCGTAAAGAAACAACGATAATACTAATAATAATGAGCTTGGTAAGATTCGATCCCTGGTCACACATTTAAAAGTGTGAAATTAAACAATTGTTCTAGCCACCCATCTCATATGCTTTGTATATAGATGTACTTGTATATAGATGTATGTAATAGTCATATAAGATAAGTTGAGAGTGAGGGAGAACTCAAGTGGTTGGAGCTTTCCTCCCGATTCCAGGTGATCCTGGAATCGATTCTCATCACCTGCCTTTGTGTCTCTCTAAACACCCAAAAAAATGGATAAGCACACATACACCAAATTCAACTCATCTTTAGTGTTGGACCATGCTAGGAGTATGATTGTATTAATATATAAGCATCCACCGGCCACCCCCACTCTATAACAACCTAGTTGAGTCAGGGCTTAACTTAGTTGGGACCTCAACTTTAGTAATTACTTGAAACTTTAGAGTTTGGGAATTTAGCCCATTCCTTCAGTATGGAAAGCGACTGACAAATGATTTGGCATATGAAAGTGTAAGATCTTTACTCTACAGCATTGGATTCATTTACTTAAGCTATAAGATCTTTTTTCATATGGTTCCATTATCATCCGCTTATGATGCTAATTTTTTGCTATTAGAGAACCCGAAAGGCTGTTCATGGCGAAATTGGTATATGAGAGATTATTACAGTTACCACAGGAGTATGAGCAAATTTCTTCAAAAGAGCTTATCCATGGCTTTAGAATACTGTTATTATTCATAAGAATCGTAACTTGTAATTTCCATGTTACGCAGTATATAATACACCCAGCCTATTGGGTGAGTATGAAGCTCACTATCATCCCCTGACATAGGAGGATCATTATGCTTCGTGTATCTTTTCAATTAAAAATAAACGAAAAGAAAACTCACTTTCTAACAAAACATTTTAGCATAGCTCCCTAACTGTTTTTTGTACAAAAGTTTCCACACAACTATAAATGTTAGGAGAGGAATCCAGGAAGTTTTAGCTTCCTCATTGTAAATGCTGGATCAAGAACAGCTGTTTACTAGGGTATTTGCTTGTTTTTTGACACAAAAAGCGAGTAACCTTACCTGTAACCATAACTTGTTCTGATACTCGGAACTCTTCCGTAATGAACCACCTCATATATGTAGACCCACATGCACCTAGAGGCTTGTATCAGGTTTTGCATTATAATACAGCATGCTGTGTCCTATGAATGTTCAAGAAAATTGTCTTCTAATTCTTCTGAAAACTGATCAATTATGATAAATTCCTGTGGCTTGCTCAGGATGCTAGCGTCTGCTGGTTTTGTAGACAGCATATGCCAGCAGAAGTGGTATTGAGAAAGAATAAACTGGGAAATGTAACAACGGGTTCATTTCGTAGGCTTTTACCAGCAGTTTGCAACTCTGTAGCACAGAAATAAGTTACGAAAATGAAAATGGATAATGATAAGTGGGAACAAAAGGTGCGAAAGCTCCCAGAACAAACACGCATAAAAGATTAGGAGAAGTTAAAACAGCTAAATGTGGTATATGAATATGATAATACAAGAAAAAGGCAATTTTACTAGAGACATTCATGAATGAAGATATGCCTAGACTATTATCGAGTAAATTTAAGGCAATTTTGTTAGAGACGTTCATGAATGAAAATATGCATTGGCTATTAATTTTTCTCCCTCTTTCTTTGTTTTCCTGAACAAAGGGGTCACCTAATTCAGTTTATTCAGCAGAGCTGAAGAAAGTCAGACTAGCAGGTCAGAATTGTCTAGAGGAAGGGTTTCAAAGCTCTATTCTCATAGACCAAACTTATTCACTAATTCTGAATATTAGTTCATATAAGTTTTGTAGCCAATAATTTTGAATTATTAAAAGTTTGGTACTAATCAGGGTTTACCCGAATTCAAATAACAGCTACAATATTTCCAAAGGATGCAGCTAAGGGAAGAAATTAGAGTATGAGGAAAGGGGTCAATACCAACTATAATACATACCATGTCATTAATACTGCAGAAAATACAACATAAACTAACTAATCAAATAGTGCATGTCAAGAAAATGCAAGAGTTTTCAGAAGAATAGTTGAAAAGTTACCTTGAAATGCTTGTAGAAGATCGGCAGACAAGCCACCATAGAAACTCTCCTGATCAAGCGTGTACCAATATAAAACTTGGAAGGTCTATGACTTTGAGTGTTACTGTGTCTAGATTTTGGGGTATCTTTACAATGATCATCTTCCTTCTTACCTGAAAGTGCTAAAAGGTGTATTCTATAAATTTCACTTTCCATAGCCAATCCCAAGGTTACTAGAATAGAAGGAAAAACTACAAATACCAAATGAGGAATGACAATCACCATTATATCCGGAAACCCAAGGTACTCCAATTTCTTACCCATCTCCGGATGCTTCACTACCCAGCCCCTGTAAGTCATATACCCCCTTTCACAACCATCAGTAAATAATTGCCCGGAAAACCAAGGACATAAAACAAGGTAGAACAAGTAACCTAGAAATCCAAGCCACACTGAGCGCAGCTTGTACAACTCTGTCAAGACCCATCCAACACCATTTTTAAAATTTTTGTCAGTACAGAAATTCTGTAATGTGTACCGTTTCTTGGAAAAAATTAGCAAAGCCTTAGGGAGAAGAAGAATAAATAAGGAGCACCCGACAGAAAGCCAGAGTATTGGGAAATACAAAGCAGCCCACTGGCAACCCATGACCATAAACTCCTTCCATGTCCAAGACAGAGAACTGGAAAGACCATTTATTGAGAATGGCCTCAACTCGGTTAAGGTTGATCTTCCTCTTACGTCAATTGCTTCTATCTGCAGCCAGTATCTTTCTGGAGATGGGTCCTGAAATGCTTTGAAATTCCAAGGTGCTGCATAAAGAGCTCCTCTTGAGGAGCTATCCTTGATCTCCGTCATTGATTCCTCCACAACCAGAATAAGCTTTCCAAGCTCAGAGTCATAAGCCCGAGCCACCACTGATATGATTGGAGATGATGAGAAGACCAAAGCTCTTATGGTCATGTAGTGTGAGGGGTCCAATGATTGATGTTCAAATTCACTTAATTGAGATGATGCCAATGTGAAGCGAGAGTCTAGGGGGAAAGTAGGTAAGATGATAGTTTTTTTAGTACCCGAATTCAAGTTGATGTCTACAAATGAAGCATGACCTCTATCAATAGCCAAAATACGCATAGCTCTATTTCTCCTCCAGTCACCCATTTCCCACTCCCAGAATTCCTGGACTTTGGATGATCCATTTGAAGAAATCTTGGAGGGCGTCTGTTGCATATTCAGCTGCATGAGATCATTACTTGGTTGGTGAAGCCGTTTCAAATTCTTGCCAAACCTCGTGTGGAGATGTCCACATAGGTAAGCAGATATTGAATGTTTGAGAAAAACATCTTTTAGGGTCCTCCCAGATTCTGAGGCTGCTGAAAATGAAAGAGGAAAATGTCCAAATGAGATTTTTACCACTGGATTCTTCGGATCAGCACCCCATTTTGATAGCTCAGAATCCAGCTCAGCTAGCAATTTATCAGTTGGATGCCCAAAAAGATTGGTTGGACCTCTGAGGCCAACTGCCATGGTGCTATCAATCCCAACAAATAGATGCCTTCTATCTTCTGTCTGCATGAGACAGCACGAATATTATTACACGAAGTTTTGTAGATTTAAAGCATTGTCAAAAGTACATCAAAGTGAAGCAGCCTTCAGATGTCAGTTTGTCATCAAAATTGGATGAACCACAAGATATTGTATTTTTGTCTTGATCATACTTTTTTTTCAGGATGCCCACCCGGTTCACACATCCGGATCCGACCCGGGTAGCACACATGGCTTATGGTGGGTGAGTCTTGATCATACTTTGATCACAGATTGTTTTCATATTTTCTTTTAATGATTCAACTATAATAATAGAGAAAAAAGATTAAAACCACATTCTTAAAATTATCTATGCCTAAAATAAATTCAACTTGTAATTAATAATTTCAGAAAAATATTGGCAAGAAGTTAACCTGAAGCGTGACACTGTTTACATGCCCAGTTCTCCCAGCTTCAGCATTTAGACTGTAGTTTGAAAAGAAATCAAAGGTGCCACCAACAGATGGCACACCAAAATTATCATGATTGCCTCTAAGGTCATAGAAGATGCTCTTGTCAAGTCCACTCTTCTTGACTACATCTGCCATCACATCCCGATATTCCACCCACTCTTGCTCATTTTGTTTCATGTTTAAGTGATCTTTGCTCTTCCCATCTAGTTGCGATAAAAACAAGTATTAGAAGCCTTATGGTCCTCCAACAAAATATTCTAGCTAACATAAGGTATAAAACAAAATTGCCCAACCCAACAAATTGAGCAAACAGCACACTAGATAAAGAAACAATTGCCTAAGATTCACTATAACGTAACAATTCCTTTATTTTCTATACCAGTTCACCAACCTCTCATATCGTAAATTGCCAATTAAAATGCGATACAACGCCCAAAACCACAACCAACCATATACCTTTCTGGTGAATGCCTCCATTCAACCAAAAAGCCGTAGTACATTATATCATCGGAAGTTCACCAAGCTACCATGTCGTAAGTTAACAAATAAAATGTGATACCACTTCAGTCCAAAACCACAATCTAACATATACCCTAAACTGATCAACATAGCTAGTGATTTTGAGTGCATCTAATCAACCTAAATTCCATGTCCATTATATCTACAGAGTTCACATTAAAATCTTCGAATTAAGAATGTAATGATCACACATAATTTCACCATAAACACAATGAATCATATCAACCACAACAGTTAACAATGTATGATCTCAACAATACTAACAATGTCAATGTCTCAGGAATCCATAATCATTTCATCTTTAATAACAAATCAAACAACTCTTCAACTAACCCTTCAATTACACCAACATACACTAGAATTCTAAGAATCAAAGCAAACCCAATTCTAAAATCCACCAAAACCCACTAAAAATCAAAGCAAAAACCACAAAAACAAAGCTCAATAACATCAATTTTTACCAAAAATGGAGAGTTAAAGACGGCGAAAAAACCTGTGAGATCGCCGGTGATAAGAACAAGAGAAGGGTTGATGACAGAAAGATAAGGGCCCACCAAATTCTTGAAATCCAGAGCTCTATCTGGGTGATGAACACTGAAATGAAGATCAGAGAGTTGAACCACCCAAATTACTGAATTTGGGCCTCCTTTAACTTGTATCAATCTGCTTGAACTTGAGTTTTCTTGCCCAGAAAAAACTACCGCCATTAATGAGAAGATGAGGAGGGTTTTAACGGTGATGTTCGCCATTGTTTTCTTCGTTGTCTTTCCTCCGACTAACATTTCCCGCCGGAGCTGTTGACTTCACGCCAACTCTGGGACGTTGGTCAGGTTTTTGTTTTTGGGTTCATCGTTTTAACAAGTTTGGGTAAACTCAATTAATACTCGTAGTTTAGTATAGAGTACTAATTAGAGGGGTCAACTCGAGTAATTTGGTCGGATATAATTGGATTGGTTTTGGTTTGGATTGAATCATATGAGTACGAGCCTCTTCTTAAACTGAACTAAACTGAACTAAACTGAACTGAAGTGAAATGAATATTTTATAAGAGAAGAAAATTAGGAGCTGAACTGAACAGAATTGAATTTCAACGTATGAGAACAGGCCCTAAGTTATGTGTCGATCTGATAATTTTGTAATTGGGTTAATGCATTTTTTACATCTTTGGTTTTTATCGATCATAAATCAATAGCTACCGTACTTTGCATGCAATATTCTCATGGGTAAGTTCTCACAAGTGCTAATTTTGCCTGATAAGGCGTAATTACGTAAATGAATAAAAGCAACTCCATTAGTTGTAGTTAGAGTTATACTCCATAATTTTCAAAATTCTTTAGCTATTAGCTTTGCATGCACTATTCTTATGGGTAAGTTCTCACAAGTGCTAATTTTGCCTGATAAGGTGTAATTACATAAATGAATAAAAGCAACTCCAATAGTTATAGTTAGAGTTATATTCTGTAATTTCCAAAAGTCTTTAGCTATTAGAATGACCATTGGAGCAAAAAAATACAAGTAACTAATTTGCTTGAGAAATACAAATACAAAAAAATACAAATTAGTAGCTTGAGAAAAAAGTTTCAAAATTTTAAGAGATTGTTAATTAATCTTGTAAAGGTATTTGAGAAAGTTAAGCTCATATAAATAGCTAATCATTGAGGCACAAATAGCTACAAAAACAACTAGCTTAAAATTTCATGTGGTATGACAAGCTCATTTGAGAATTAACTTACCATTGAAGATACTCTAAAGCCGATCCTTCATATATTTATTTGAACGAGCTCAAATACTTGCAAAGTGCAAAAGACATTGCAATTTCCAAATGACAAACTTACACAATAACACAAACAATTAGGAAAGTAAGTTTACTAAAATCACTAAACATGCAAACACAAGCCTCATTTGCGACTTTTGACTCCCACCACATTTACCGTGAAGGATATTGAGCAGCAGATTAAGTTGTTTTTCTAGGCTATTCTACTCTGACACATCAAGATACCGACCCGTTTATGGACATCAAGTTACTTTACAAATTAGGTTACGGTCTTGTGAGAAGACGTTCCTAATTTTCTTTGTATTTTACTTTTCGAAAAAAGCCTTTTATATATATATACACTAGATGTAAGCTCGTGCGATGTACGGTTTTTAAATATTTCATTTTATATATTTTTCTTTTGTAATTTCTTAATATTTTTTGTTTTTATTTTCTATTCTATTATTTTAACATTAATTTAAGGTAAAATATTTTGTTAAGTTTTAAATTATTCTTATTCAAATTTTACGCATATAGAACTTGAATATATAAATTGAAATAAATATTATCTCATTCATCGGATAGTTAGATAAAATCATTAAATCAAAATATATTTTTTATTTTCTAATTATTTGTTAAAATAATATAAACCCTAATGTAAAAGATAATATAAAAGATATTTTTTTTTTCATAATTTAAATCTTATATTAATATTTTTTTGTTTTCAATTCTCAAATTTCATTTGTTAATTTTTTACTGAAAATTAAAATTCTAAATTAATTATAAATCAAATTTTTCATTGGTCGAAATATTACTTTTGCTTATGTGGCGTGCGATGCACGAATTTTTATATACATTTTGTATGTAAATATTTTTTTGGTGATCTCTTAATTTTTTTTTCTTGCATTATAAGTTTTAAATTTTTTGTATGAAAGTATCATATCATTAGATATTTACATAAAACCATTAACATCAATAATTGGTCTTGTATGGACCCGGTCTACAATAAATTATTGTAGACCCAAAATTTAACACTTTCAAATAATATAATCACATTCTGGATGATATAATCACTTATTTAGATGATATAATTATCTTTTTGTGAGTCATATTTTGATCTCATATTAAACCATTTAATGAGATTATATAATTATCTTTAGGATGATAAAATTTAAAAATCATCTTTTGAATGATGTAAATTACTATTTGATACTTTTTATAATGATAAATTCACTTCTTGAGTGATACATTTACATAATAGTTTCAAGATGATATAATCACTTTTGTAATAATATAATCACATTTCGTATGATATAATCACATTCGTATGGTATACTAGAAGGTTGGGTCTACAATAAGTTATTGTAGATCGGGTCTATTCTAGTCTTAATATAACATCAAATGATAGTTTATATTTTTTAAATATCAATATAATTTTTAGTTTTTTAAATAATATAAATCATAATATCTAAAGATAATTTTTAGCTTTGTAACAAATATAAATGATAAAATTTAGTGTTCTTAAATAATTAAAATCCTAATAAATTACTATTCGTCGTTTTTACATACGTGGCAAAAATTTAAAATTTCATTCGTCACTTTTATTTAGGTGCCGAGTGATTTTTTTAATTCTAAAATAAAATAAAAATCTAATTTTTGATTGGTCAAAAATAAATCTTTTCTTATGTGGCGCTCCCAATGCTCTCCAAAAATACCTACTTTATTTATATATATATTAGATTAGATTGATAACATAACATAACACAATAATTAGAATATTGATAATTCATTACTTTTCTAAATAATATCATAAGATATACTTCCTCCGTTTTTTAGTATATGGAATGATATAGTAACAATATATTTTCCTAATATGATGGACAAAGATAACAGGTTGACTTTTTGTAATATTATATAATTTATTTTAACCAATGTACTCATATTAGTATTTGTTGAATTTGCTTCAATATATAACTAATTTAAAATTTTGTATATTTATGAAGATCATTCATTAGATATATGGATAAATTTTTTTGATATCATAAGATAATTTTTTTAATTTAACACTAAAGTTATCTTTTGTTGTTTTATTTATTTTACGTGATGCTTGAATTTAAAATTGCAAACCTTATTCACTAATTTTTCTTATGTGACAATTTAAATTTTTAATTCAAAAAAGAAATGAAAAATGTCGTTTTTTTTTATTAATCAAAATGAGTCTTTTGCCTATGCGTTTATTTAATATACTCGTTCTGTTTAAAATATCAGTCTCATTTATAATCGTTTAACTATTAAAAATTATGGGAAATCAATTATATGAGATTTACTTTTATTCGTCTTGAGTACATTATTAAAATTGAACTTTTATAATATTTGTTAGGGGGAAATTAAAGATACGTAATATTTGCCATAAAAAATTTGCATCCCGCCAAATGCTCCCGAAAAATGCCTACTTTATTTATATATATTAGATTAGATTAGATTTATGAATAATAAATTTTTTATATATTATATTTTGTACTTATTAGTAATAATTAAGAGAATAATTATTAAAAATCTATCTATCTATAACTTATACTAAAAAGGAATAATCAATGACACTTGTTGAGTTGTTATTACCTTGTGTCTGTCAAAAAAATAAAAAATACCTTGTGAAATTTTTTCATATATATATATATATATTTTCCAATTTTACAATCATATTCCATATATATCCAAATAAAATATTTATAAATATCTTTAAATGTCAAATATATTTATCACGAGATTTTAACCTAGTTCTACTGGTTTATACTCAAATAAAATATTTATAAATATCTTTAATATACTTTATTATTGTCAAATTTATTTATCACAAGATTTTAACCTAGTTACCACGAGATTTTAACCTAGTTCTACTGGTTTATACTCTTTACTCTTTAGAGGAATATGTCTCTTAACGAAAGACTGGTTTATCCTTAACTTTAGTAAATTCTCTCAATCATCTTCAATCTTCCGACCCCATTAAAAAATCCCACAATTACTTTCTGCCACTCTCTCTCTCTCTCTCTTTCTTTCTTTCTCTCTCTCAAACCATGACAGTTCCTCCACTCAATCACGCAAGGTTCTTTTTTTTCTCTCTTTAATTTCTACCTTCATTCCTTAATTTACCGCAATTTAGATCTTACACTCGAAAACATAACGCGTATCGTGCTCCCGAAATCAGTACAGTTTAAAACTGTTCATCGTGTTCTCGAGTGTATAATAATATAATAATAATTGCTAATTTACATGCTTATATGTTTAAATTTTCAGGCTTTAAGCAAGATCGCCCAAAATCGACTCCAAAAATAACTGGTTGAGTGGCAGCTTAATCCTCCTGCTGGCTTCAAACATAAGGTCACCGATAATCTTCAAAGGTATAATTTTTTCTGGGTTTTTTGTTTTTTTTTTCATGATTAAAAAAGTTTTGATTTTTATATGGTATTTGTTTTTATTTTTATTTTTTAAAAAGATGGGTGATCGAAGTTTCTGGAGCACCTGGAACTTTGTATGCAAACGAGACTTATCAGCTTCAAGTTGATTTTCCTGAGCATTATCCTATGGAAGCACCCCAGGTGATTATTTAATAGTATTTATTTTTCTAATTCAATTGAACCCCTGAATTTTTTTTGTTGATTTTTGATTACTTTATGTTAAATTATTATTATTAGTATAGTTTTATTATAATTGCACAATTTTTAGGTTAGAATTTGGTTTAATTTGTTGTTTTTTTGGGGTGTAGGTTATATTTGTACCTCCTGCTCCTCTGCATCCTCACATTTACAGCAATGGGCATATTTGTTTAGGTACTTCTTTCTTTGTATTAGATGAACTTTTTTTCCCTTAGACGCTTACTTGTTCTCTATATGTGTTAATACAATACAATTTTATGTATTAAGTTGTAGCGTAGTTTAAATTATACTATCAATCTGACGACTACTTTCAGATGGAGAGAGTATGTGGAATTTTAGTACAAATATGTTGTATCTTGTATGTTTGTATGATTGTATTGTATTAACGAAGTCAATTGAATTGAATGATATCTTAGAATAAGATCAAATGTTTCAATGACAAATGACTATTGACATTGCTCATACATGTTA